AAAGGGGAGGAGGAAACGCCGCGCCTTGGTTGGCTTAGGAGGGGTTGATGTCACTAGGTCTTCAGCCAATGAGGAAGTGAGGGGGAAAAAAAAAAAAAAAACACAGAGTGAAGTTAGGGTTAAAATAGATTTTTTAGCAAGTGCGGGTCTCCCAATCTGTCAATCGTGCACGTGTTTGAGTCTGTGTTGCTATGGTCGCTCCATCTGGGCGGCAAACGCGAAACATTCAGGTGCAGTCACGTGGAAAATGTTTATCTGCTGAAAGCTGAAGAGAAGAGAAGGGATGTGAAGCTGCACAGAGGCTTCAGTAACTGTGCAGTTATAGAATAGACAGATATTTTAAATCTGCATTATTTTGATAAGGCTCTCATATCCTATTAGTACCTGTGCAGCTCTGAATCCTTCAAATTAAGAAGGTTCATCTGCACAAATATGACTAAAATAACAAAATGTGTGTAAGAGTGAAATAAAAATGTTGGTGTGGACGTGTGTCTCCAGCTGCTAAGAGTCCCTGTTCTCCGACGGAGAGGAGGGTGAGCCGCAGCACTCAGTCCTACGGCTCCTTCACCATCACGCCATTTACCACCAGCAAGGAGAACCTCCCCGTGCTCAACACACGCATCATCTGCCCTGGTAAACACACACACACACACACACACGTTGAAGTATCAGTGTGAGTCTGTCCTTGTGTTTCTTTTATTGTCAGGGGATGAAAAATTTGTTGCATGGATGCTCTGACATATAACATCTTGTCGTGTGTGTCTGTGTGTGTGTGTGTGTGTGCGCAGGCTTGCGGGCAGGTCTGGCTGCCTCCATCGCTGGCAGCTCCATCATTAGTAAAATGCTGCTGGCGAACATCGACCCCTTCGGAGCCACACCCTTCATCGACCCCGACCTGGATTCCCTGTAAGAGCCTCTCTCAGTTCTTCATCCCTTCTTTATCACGATGTCACGTCACTCTCACTTCTCTTCTTCTCTGTCGTTAAACGCAGAGAGGGCTACATGGAGAAGTGTGTGATGAACAACTACTTCGGAATCGGCCTGGATGCTAAAATCTCCCTGGAGTTCAACAACAAGCGAGAGGAGCATCCAGAGAAATGCAGGTGAGACACGTTTCCTTCACACACTCTGATGCTGCGTGTTTTCTTCACTATGACTCTTAAAAAAAGAAATATAATCACTGCTCTTAATGCATGTTGTATTTTACTGAGTGAGAAACACTTACTGGCACGTGGGCGGTTTATAACTTGGTTAAACCTACCATCCATTACTTTGCACTTTCCTCACCGCCCACACTCTTCCCAGATATTCTCCCGCCGACCGCTTCCAGTCAGTGCTTTTCAGCTAATACTTTTTTCTACTCACCCTTTGCTCTGCTCCTTCCTACGCAGGAGTCGGACCAAGAACATGATGTGGTACGGAGTTTTGGGCACAAAGGAGCTTCTGCAGAGAACGTACAAGAACCTGGAGCAGAAGGTCCAGCTCGAGGTGAGACAGGAGGAAGAAAAACACAGAGAAGGTTTTTAAAAAAGATGTGGTTGATGCATAACTGCCCCAAAAACTCTGCAGATTCCATCCAGACAAGTTATTTAGTTGAGGAGGTGATTCGACATTTCTCGCCGCACTAAAACCTCCAGAAACACTTTTTACACATCTACACATTCTGCAACCACTCAACGTATTTCACTCCACAAATATATTCAGGAGCTGATTGGGACTCTTCAGGGTAAACAGCGTTTCCAGAACATCGGCCCCACACTTGTTCAGTCAGAACAGAAACCACGTTCAGCCCAGCGGAAGCTGTGGTCGTGTGGTCAGGTGTTGAGAGTCATGCACTGATGTTTTTTATGTCCTGAAAAACCACATCGTGAGGAGTAAAAAATACTGTGATGGGTTTGTGAGACTATTAAAGTTGAAGTCATGTAAAAATGTGTTAAAGTACTTCAGGTTACTGTAGTTTCAAGTGCGATTTATTTAAGGACTTTTATATTATCTCCGTGATATTATAATAATATATCTGCTACACATGAAATGAGAATCATTTTCAGTTAAGTTTTGATTTTATGCTGCTGTAAAAGGGATATAGAGAGTTTATATAGCAGCACTGACCCACAGCAGAAATGGAAATATTGACAATGAATCTGTAAAGCAGAGAGGAAAACCTGCATCTACTTTATTTAGAGTCCATTTTGTTAGATTGCACATTTATACAAAAGTTGATTAAAACTAGAAACAAACTGTTGTGAAATGAGATGTTCATCCCTCCCTCTGGTTATTTGTCTCAGTGTGACGGACAGTACATCCCCCTGCCCAGCCTTCAGGGTATCGCTGTGTTAAACATTCCCAGCTACGCAGGCGGGACAAACTTCTGGGGTGGCACCAAGGAGGATGACGTGAGTACATGTACAGCCCGAGATGTTCCCTCTGTGTAATGTTCCATCCCGTGAGCCGCTCCGTCGGTCGGACTCACGTCACCTCTCAGAAGGAAAAGGAACGTTTTCCTCCTCAGGCTGATGTCACAAATTCTCCAGGCTCCTGGATCAAGGCTCCATCTCCTTTTCTGATCCCGTCTCATATTCCTCTCTGCGTCTGTATGAAGACAAAGCTGCATCCTGCTTTGACCCCGTTAGTCTGTAGGTAGAGAGGAGGGGCAGCGTTACAGAGACGTTTTTGCTTTGTTTGTTTAAGGCTCCGAGCACAAGAGCAGCTGAGGGATCAGAGTGTCAGTTTGCACACACACACACACACACGCTCACACACGTGAATGTAAGACCAGGCACTTACACACACACACATGCATGCACACTCAACCCTCAGTGAGCCCCTGCAGAGGTTTCCCTTGGACACATATAGTCTGTGCATTTGCTGTTATGTAACTGTTTGGCTGGAGAGGAGGAAACGGGGAGTTCAGTGGAACTTGTCGTCATTGCGTGTGCACACGCACACACACACACACACACGTAAACATATAGGCCTGCCTGTGACGTGGTCTGATCGTACATTTTGTTATCTGATCTGAAGTTCCGCTGTAAATACAGGTTTCAGCATTTGCAGAACTTCCTGGTAAATATGACTTGATTTCCATCTAGTGGCCGAGGGCCCTCAACACAGCCGATCACGTTCTGTGATCATTTGATCCTGAGTGAGACGGTTGTTGTTTTCTTCTCTCCCTGCGTCTCATTACCGCTTTGACCTTTTCACGAGCAGTTTGTCTGCGGAGATCAATGTCGGAAAGAAACTATTCATTTCATTCAGGCTCCAGATGAAGACGGAGGTTTATTTTAAATGTATCAGGACAGAGATGGACAAAGAGGCTAGGCTGTTGATATTCTGTGTTTTTCTCAATGTCAATAATGAATTGAAAAAGAAAAATATAGAATAGTTATTTTTATGTTTCGGTTGATTATCACAATCAAGAGATGCAACATGATGGAGCTCACACTGCTCCTGAACATCATGATTGTGTTGTGCAGATCTTCTGTGCTCCATCGTTCGATGATAAGATCCTGGAAGTTGTGGCCGTGTTTGGGAGCATGCAGATGGCAGTTTCCCGAGTCATCAAACTGCAACACCACCGCATCGCACAGGTGAGAACGCACCAAAAACAACAGTAGCTCATAACTCCGCCAAGGCCCAACAGACCCCCACCCTCCTCGACGGAGGTAGCGATAAATATACTCAGAAGAAGATGAACATCATCTAATCTGTGTTTCTTTGACTGCTTTAGTGTCGAACCGTGAAGATTACTATCCTGGGCGATGAAGGTGTTCCCATCCAGGTGGACGGAGAGGCCTGGATCCAGCCGCCCGGCGTCATCAAGATCCAACACAAGAACCGGGCTCAGATGCTCACCAGAGACCGGGTGAGACGCAGAGTTCGAGGAATATGAGACAAAGTTTTACAGGAACTAGTTCAGACGATGAACTTATTCTTTGATTTCGCCTGCAGGCGTTTGAGAACACGCTGAAGTCGTGGGAGGACAAGCTGAAGTACGACAAGCCTCCTCTGCGGCCTCACCTGTACCCGCAGCAGTCTGTGGATCTGGCGACAGAGGAGGAGGCCGCTCTGGTGCAGATGTGCGCACGAGCTGCAGAGGAGCTCATTACGAGGTAAATATACAGCCGCGTGAATATCAGGTCGCACTGCAGAGGTTTTTATTGAAAAATGAAAAGTCTCTGACGTGTTCTGTCTCTAATCACAGGATCTGTGAGGCTGCGAAGACCAACGGGCTTTTAGAGCAGGAGCTGGCTCACGCTGTTAACGCTGCATCACACGCTATCAACAAGACTCACCCCAAGTTTCCAGAGGTTTGTCATCAACACACATCACACAACATAAAAAATTCACTCTGCTTTGAGAAACGGGAAGTTTGCTCAGCTGCTGCTCAGACGAATTCAAACAAACATTTATTAAAACCATAAAAGGACGAGTTTGATTCAAACAGCTTCCAGAATTTGTTGTGTTTTTATTCTATATTTTATTCGTTGTTATGTTTGTTGTTCGTTCTGATGTGTGTGATTTTACTAAGTATCAGTTGTGTCTCTTGTCTCCAGAGTCTGGCGAGGAACACGGCTATAGAGGTGGCCAGCACCGTCAAAGCTCTGTACAACGAGACCGAGTCTCTTCTGCTGGGCAGAGTCTCTCTGGTAAAACTGACTTTATCATTATAGTCATTCATTTATTTGACTCTGGCTCATGTAAAGTTTCAAACACAATGTGGTGTCAAATGTCTCATTTTCATACATGTCGCTGATCTCTGCTGGTTGGTTTTTTTTTTCCCGGTGCAGCAACTGGACCCACCAGAGGAGGAGCAGCTGTCCGGTGCTCTGCAGAGCGCGGAGCTGGAAATGGCCAAACTGGGAGAGATCCCGTGGCTCTACCACATTCTGCAGCCTAACGACGAGGAGGTGAGCGTCAGACACAGGCATGAACATGTTCACAAGCTGCCCTTACAACAGAGTGCAGCAACTACAGAAGTCGATTTATACAATAACAAAATGAAAAAATCTTATCAGCTGATTTTTATCAGTAGTTATTACAAGTTTCCTTTGTAATATTTCTATAGCACAGTGTGCAAACTGAACGCTATCTGCCCATATACACATTTATGTCTTTGTTGTAACATGGCTCCAGGTAACGAGAGAGCTGAGTAGCTAAATGAAAGGCTATAGGTTGACTGTGCTTATGTACCAGGACCACTCTCTGGGTTACGGCAAGAGGAACAGTCGCAGCAGCATGTTTCGCATAGTCCCCAAGTTCAAGAAGGAGAAGGCCGCCAAGAAGACGAGTCCACAGTCAGGTAGGGCCGCGCCCACTCTCCCCCTCAGTGGTCAACAGACTGGACGGAGGGCGGAGTCTGTCCCGTCTGAACGGGAAACGTCATTCACGCTGCTCGTCAAAGTTTAGCTGCTTTACATCGAGTTGTTGGTGCTTTTAATTTGAAAGGATGGCAGTAATAGACTTTAATGACTGTAAATAAAGATGGACGACGCGTCTGCATTTCCTCCCACTATCCAAATATGAAGACAAAGTATCTCGGGGGTAGGGGCCGGCATCCTGAGCTGGTATCCAGGTAACACTCGACCAATCACCTCCGAGGTGACGTATCGGTTACAGTCCGTTCTTCAGAGCATCGGCTGGTGTCCGGACATTTCTCGTCCCATCTGTTAACATGGAGGTGACGGGGTTAATGAACTACTCTGCAGCCAGCCACCAGGGGGCAGTCCAGATGATTTGGCATCACTTTTTGGGGCTGGCCATGTCGTCCGTCTTTATTTACAGATTGTGGAGGCAAAGAAGACGTTTGGCAGGAAGTGCTGCCATCCTTCATTCATCCAATGATAAAACTGACCACTGTGCTTAAACCTCACACACACGCACACACAGACACACACAGACACACACACACACACACACACAC